GAGAGAAAGAGAGAGAGAGAGAGAGAGAGAGAGAGAGAGCATGGTTCACATATTGATATGAAGTAAGCAGATAAGGATTATAAATAGTTCTACGTGAACTGATAAATGTGCGAAAGTTTATTAAAAATGCGACAAGGCACAAACGCATTGTGAATTCGGGTCACACATTTAAGAATTATCATATACTTTAAAAGAAAACAACCAAACAAACGAAGTCACTTCGTCAGTCATTGTGGTAAATTAAATATGTACGGTTTTAATCTAACAGACTTCAAAATTCTACTTTAGTCATAATATGTGCGTCAGTTATATTGTGCGTATGACTTCGGGTGTCGTGTGCGCACGCGTGCGTGAACGCTCACACACTGGCTTATACCTACATGATTTGTATTTGCGTTCACAATAGTTCACATGTTATGCTTTTATACATTATTTTTCTTGTATGTACACCCAATAAAACCCAAGCGAACCCTAAGTACACATTTCTCATAAACCAAGGTGAGGTACAGTTTCTTTCGAGACAAATTTTACTGTTTGAATTTGCTGTCTGTACCAAAATAAATACCAATTCATAACCTCCATACCGTGAATTCTAAACTGCAAACTTTTAAAGGATCATTTGACATCTTTTCTTTGAAGTAACTTGTTTAAAGCATCACAAACACAGAAGGTAAGAGGCTTTTTAGTATTTCCCCTGTCTGATATTGACACGACTTTACTTCGCCTTTGGCTTAAAAATAATGATTTCAAGCGATCTTATTTCAGCAACCCTAGCTTTTATCTTTCAAGCAAATTTCTTTAATGGAAAAAAAACCCATAACCAACTAATTAGATATAACATAGAGACAACAAAAGCGACAAACCGACGATGTTGTATATAATTATTATCAAAAAGTAGTCTAAAATCCTGTTCAGAAATCACACATTACACACACACACACTTTTAGTAACTGGCAATGGCAGACTATTGAACGTACAGGATACGTGTCCAGACCCACGCGGCTAGCATCTGCTACAGAGGGAGCCATGCACGCCTTGGAGAACTGGGGGGGGGGGGGGGGGGGGGGGGAGAGGAAAAAAAAAAAATCCCCCCTCCATGTTGCAAGACAAATTTCGATTTTCTTCGTAGTTTAAATCCAATCGGTAACCTCCACTAACATTTTCGAAAAAGTACGATTAGTGAAAACGTGTTATCATATTATTACAGTCGATTACTATAAAACGTCGTGCGTTTCTTTAGGTTCAGCAGGAGTTTCCGGGCACTTATTGCAACACAAATATTATGTGATGATAATATTAGTGCCAATGATAGGAGGATACTTGTTACCAGAGAGCAACATACAAAAGAAAAAGGAGAGATAAGGATGATAGACACAATTTGAAAGGAAAGAAGGGGCACATCATACCAGAGCACCCACATTTTGGTTCTCTGGATTCAAGCAGTGAGTTTTGTATTAAAAAGGATGACAACAAGATTAGACAACAGGCCTACGGAGATTCCAGGAAAACTATATATATATATATATATATATATATATATATATATATATATATATATATAGTATATATATAGGGCCTATATATAATTATATATATAAAGAGAGAGACACCTCAGTAGTCTGAACAAGCACAAAAGATCTTTTTGATATTAGTTTAGTTTAAGTATGCCTTTTATGGCACTTGCAACAGTTAAGGTTATATACGTGCCGAAGATTAATAAAGGTGTTACAAGAGACTAACAAACACAAAAAGAAAGAGGAGAGATAAGAACAATAGACGCTTGATAGGAACGAAAGGAGCAAACCACCGACAATTTTTTAATCAGAAACAAAATACAAAATGCAATTGGCTAAGTAGCAAAAATTATACCTGCAGCTTACACGTTCTTACCTATTTATTTAAAACACATCACTTGTGCGCAGGTGGTTGGAGGGTGCCACAAGTATAGGTCTGATACTTCTTTTCTTCCCCTCTGTTGTTTGTGCATGTCTCTCATGCGTTCTCCCCTGCACTTATTCAGCATGACCGTCTTCGGGTCGACGTGCTTCTTTCTACATGTACTCACACACACTTGATCCACAGAGCCGAATTATGTCAGCTAACCGCTTTCTTTCGGAACAGGCCGTGCGTTTGTTTGTTTTTGTTTTTTTTTTGTGTGTGTTTTTTTTTTTTGGGGGGGGGGGGTTCATCAAGAGTAGTGTTTCAAAGCTCCAAGTCGATCCGACTTCAATCCAACTTAGCATGCGAGGAATAACGTTCGCAAACATCCCACTCTCCAGCCGACACAGCTGTGGTGTGTTGAAAACCGTTCGTCACCCTTTGGAAAATCCGTACTCCTAGTAGATGTTGCTGTCGGAGACGGTGTATGATGGATAAACTGTAGTTCAGTGCTTGCAAACCTCGCGCGGGAGTGATTATCGCCCACTAGTGGGCCATCTTAGTAGTCATTTTGATGGGCAGTTTTTTTTGTTTTGTTTTGTTTTTGTTTTTTTGGTTGTTGTTGTTTTGGTGGGGGGTTTTTGTTTGTTTGTTGTTGTTTTGTTGTTGTTGTTTTTTTTGGGGGGGCGAGCGAACGGGTAGTGTTCTTCTATTACGTACCGCTAGGAAATACATGTAGATGAGTGCATGGGTGCATGATACTGGTACGCGCTGCTAGGAAATACATGTAGGCGGGTGCCTGGTATAGGTACGAAAATGTTAGCCTGCTAATGGTGGCAAAAGTGAGCGTTGGCTATAAAATAAGGTTGACAAGCAATGCTGTAATTAATTAGTATAAGACATTTTTACCATCACAGCAGAGAGAAATCCACCTAGTATCCAGGACAAAAGAGGCGACAAACACTGATTAAGAAACCTAAATACATGTATGTGTACAAGAGAGATGGATTGGGCATGTTCTGAGAAGAGAACCAGACTCTATTCTGAAGACTGCCCTCCACTGGACACCAGAAGGAAATCACAAGAGAGGCAGACCCAAAGTGACCTGGAGACGCCCAGTAGAGTCTGAAATGGAGTGCTGGAACCATTCGTAGGGGACGTTGACCAAGATAGCCCAAAACAGACAGAGCTGGAGATCCTTTGTTGCTGCCCTAAACGCCAGATGGCGTTCTGGGTAGTAAGTAAGTAAGTTAGTAAGTAAGTAAGTACAAGAGCATGGAATGAACTTTTGGGTGCGTTGCGCCGAGATTGAAACTGGGATATTTTTACATAAAACACCATAACTCTTTAGGGATTCATACAATATGGTAACTTAGGGCAAGACTGAGAAAAAAAACAATCTGAACAGCATATTGCACCAACACCATCACGTTATAAAGACGACAAGCAAGCAGGAGAAGAAACATGTTGAGCAGGGACAAGTGTACTGTTACCATATATATATTATATGTACAATGTGATTTCTAAACTTCAAAAGTCTTATCAACGCAATTAAATCCTTTGGCTACTTTAAGAACTGCTATAAAAAACAGAAAAACAAACTCTGTGTATCTAATAATTCTTAACCGCTCACTAGCTTGCTTGATCTAGCCTTGACATGATTTTTAAAGAGGCTTAAAAGTATTTTCTAAATTTACACTATAAATTCAAAGCAAAATAAAAATTACAGACTAAAAAAATACTGATAGAATTACTCATAATTTGAAAATGAACACGTATAGGGAAAGAGGTAAGATAAAGACCAGACATCACATCCATGTTTTTCTTACATAAACACCCTCGCTGTAACAGTGGGAAAAACCAACAATGCTGAGCAGTACCTTGTGTACATTCAACTTTTATTTCTCCCAAGTCAGTAGTAGAGCACATCGTCACGCTCATTTGATAAGTGTCAAGTCATTTTTGGAGCAAATTGAGCAATGGCCACATCTTGAGAACTTGATTACTTCCCCCCAGATTTCTGTCAAAGTCAAAGGTATGGAACATCTTGGTTAAAGTAGGCCTACTGTACACACATGCACACTGATGGCCATACAATGATAGTCAAGATGACGGACAGGCTAAATCACTCGGGGAAGAATTATTATTTTAAAATGTATTGCTTACATTCATGGAGGATGTAAACACTTTTATAACATAGAAAACATTGTGAATAGAAAAGAAAAAAAGTGTAAGGAACTTTGAATTTGAACAAAACCCCCAAAAATGTTTTTTCTAAAATTGTGTGTAATGTCTGTTTTGTAAGTGTAACAGTTTTTGTTATATTTCTCAAAACGCCAAAAAATGGCATAGGCAATTATTGAATGAGCGTGACGACATGTCATACAGTTCACAAATACATCCCTCAGATGTCACGAGGATGACAGCATGAAAAAAAAATTGGGTCACAAAAAACAACACAAAGAATGAAACATTCCTTGCACAAAAAGTGTATGGAAGTTTCATGCCTTTGATGAAAAAAAAAAAATTCAATGGAGGTAAAATCAAAATAACAGCAGATTGCCCAAAACAAATAGTAACTTTTCACTAAGAGAACCTTAGAAACATCACACACCGAACAACTCAATAAAAAATGTCTGCACCCGAAAATCTTGGTTAAAGTAGGCCTACTGTATACACATGCACACTGATGGCCATACAATGATAGTCAAGATGATTGACAGGCTAAATCACTCGGAGAAGAATTATTATTTTAAAATGAATTGTTTACATTCATGGAGGATGTAAACACTTTTATAACACAGAAGACATAGTGAACAGAAAAGAAAAAAAGATGGGAAAGGAAAAAAAGTTTTTAAATTGATATAGGTCTAGTCTAGTACTGTACTGAATACTAAAAAGCGGCAATCGGAAGAATACAAACAAAATGATCAAAGGCAATCAAGAAGAAAACACTATAAACAGCACACTCTTAACTCTATCTGTAAGTCGTGTTTTACTATCGTATCCATATGACGCGGGGAACTCTGTGCCACCACTTTCAAAGAGGAAATTTACTCGTTAATCCGATCCATACCCTACTCTTTGCATAGTGGTCTGTCAAAATGATTTTTTGAGAAATACTGAAAGTTTCAAAGAGATCTTCATACTAGAAGTATTTTAAAATGTGAAGAATACAACCCAGGGGGTACACAATGACCCCAGGATGTACAGATAGGGTTAACAATGTTGTTATCACCAAGGCCACCCTCAAGTTTACGAATGTTGAACAATACAAAATATCGCTACAGAGGGAAACTAGGTTTTGCAAAATTTAATGTTCAACAGACAATAGATAATTTGCTACTATAAAGAAGCGAAGAACAGAAAATAAAGCAACAAACAGACTGAATGAGAACAGCCACTCCTCAAAAAATGCATGAGCACATAGAAATATTTTGAGCATACAGTGACACATTAATCATTAATGCCAAAAGTGCATTTATACCTTTGTATATATATACAGTGGAGTCTGCTTGAACTGAACACGATTAATCCGAAAACAGCGGTAAATCAAAAGAAATCAGAATTCCTGATTTTCTTCTTCTATCTGAGCAACCTCTCCAAACCAAAAACCCAGCATGATGGAAGAAAATCCAGCGATCCCTCAGATTTCAGTTTGAGCAGACTCCATTGCAATTATACTTTTTCAGGGAAGACAAACTCATATAAATGAAAAATAAATAGTTACCAGTTGCTTCAACTTGGCACACATAGCAATCATTATTGATAATGAGCAAAACAAGAGTTGCCATCCATGCCACACAAAAAGACACTGTCTATAAAATAAAAACTAGGACATCTTGCACCAACATCACTTCTTGTACATGTGAATACACACATACAGTTAAGTAGAAATAATTTATTCCCTTGCACAGATGTTCGAACAACATCAATACATACTTAACTACTAGCACTGTTCTTTGATAACATGTGACTTCAGCAAGGCAGTGAAACAAGTCCTGTTACACCTGGTGTCAATAGACAGATAGGACCCATCTAATCAATTATTAGTAGCATAATTAATATTAATCATCATAAAAAGCTTCCTACATTACATAGCCCACGCATACATGTCACTCAACGTCAAGGATCATAGTGACATCTCAGTCACATGCAGACTAGTCCACCTCAGTACAGAATTGTTCCTAATTATAGAATTAATTTAACACCTACATGCTACAATACCTGCTAACAATCTCTACGGCCAAAATTAACTAATGCTCCAGGAAAAAAAATCAAATTTTGTTCTGTTTTTCAAATGTAAACAGCTCACAAGAAAATGTTATCTAACAAACAGTTTTTATAAAAATTACAAATACAAACATTTTCCACCCAATGGTCCAAAGTTTTCTTTCTACAGTATTTGACGGTCGTTTGAAAACATATTACAAGCTAAAATACATGTATACGAGGTGCGTTTGCCATGTGTGAACAGAGATCAGACAATGACTATAGTAATTATAGTTCAGGATAGGTGTTACATCCCGCTTGACGTTAAGCTTAGTAAATCTTTAACAAAAATCTTTCATTTTTATACCCATCTCCAACAGAACTGAGTCATATTGGGGGAGACCCATGAAAACTTCTCCAACAACTTAAAAGCAAATGTGCCCTGACAGGACTTGATCCAAAGTTACCCATGTCATAGTCCAGCATGATTCCAGATGAGGCTGCCCATACCCAGCACCTTGTTCTCTTTTTAGAATTAAAAAAACCCATACTATACAAAGTAACAGTGGCCCTCACCATGAAATATAGGCCTGTGCACATTAACAAACAAAGTTGAAGAAATCATCTTTGTTTTCTTTTATGTCTCTGTGGCCATACTTTTCCACCTGTCAACGGAAGAAATGAAACACAACCACATCCAAACAGCAAAGTCAGAGACATATAACATCAACATCCCACAAGTATTTCATGCTATGTACAAGAAATTTATCACAATTCCTTGGGGTGAGAATCTGAACACACCAGTATTCAGACTTGCAAAATTTAAGTAATTATATTTACATTATAACATATTAGATGGATGCATGCAAACTTTTGAGCCAGTAAATATGAAGAGCAAATGAATATGTATTGTGTATAAAAACATGTCATTCTTGCATTTGAAATATTATTCTTTTTAAAGTACAGCAGCACAAAAATATCAACAATCCCTCGAGTGAGAAACCAACCCATATTACAATACTCACATGAAAACAGATGACATGTCAACGGACTGAAGCTTACCTGTGGCAGCTTACAAACATTTGACAAGGACACCTACAAAATGGGACTGTGGCAAGTTATCTTATGGGATAGGAGATTTCAAAGGAAATGGCACCAGCAAATCAAAACCATTGGAGTTGGATTTGTAAGCAAAAAAGTTTTTTGAGGTTCCAGTTACACTTTTACATAGAGCAGATGGAACACACTCACAATTATTTTGTTTCGTCAAAGCAAGGCAATTATTTAGACATTCACACTCAAACCTATTATTATTTATATTATAGTAGAGGGTATTACGGCGCTCGCAACTGCATAAGGTCATATGAGCGCCAAGGGGTGGATGTCAACAGAGATGTCTTTACACGGAATCAGACTTACACTGCTCACCTTTCTAGCTTCAACAGCACAAGGTCTGCTTCAACTATCAAGGCACCCCGGAAATAGCAGGTCACAAGAGTGACAAACATACAAAAGAAGTAGAGGAAAATGACAATAGTACGGATTAGGAAAGAAAAAGCAGCAGTTCCCCGTTGTAGATCAGGCACAATTATGAGCGTGATATGAATCAGCCCAATTACAATTCTACTGTGCTTGAATGAGAAATATTCCCCCTTTGAGAATGGCCTAAAGACACTACAGTCAGTGGTACTGCCCCGGGGGAACACTCCAACCTAGATGCATTCTACATTTAAGTCAAACAATCATTTTGGACTCTTAAAGCTTGCACACAACCTGGCAACCAGTAAAAAAGTACTCATAAAGCTTTCTCAGTGCGAAGAAAATAATTGCATAATGTCATGCCAAAGGTTGCTGTGACACTTGAGTATACAAGAAGTTATAAGTCAAATGTCATGGATTGTATTTTTTTTTTAAAACCAACAACCCAATTTACTTCTCATCTTCTAATGAAAACAAAGTACAATCAACTATAGATGAGTTGATGTCATCGTGGGAGTGAAAAAAGATCAACTCATCTGAAGTTCAACTTAACCGTTAGCACCTGTAAAGAAGAGGAGGTGCTCGGACCCGAGAAAAAGATTTACTTAACCAAAGATCAACTCAAGCAAGTTCAACACAAGTGGAGTCGACTGTATTTTCAAAATTTCCATACTGAGTTTAAATTTAACAGAAAAGAAACATTCCTACTTTTAGCTTTGTTTGAGTAGCACATTGACACAGTAAAGGTCATTAAATGCTGGAATAAAAGTAAGACAGATGATAGACAAAAACAACAGAGAGAAAGAAAAGAAGTTGAACCTTCTAGTGGTGCCTTCTGACCTCCTACTACCTTTAGCCATGTCATCAACAAATAGACATTTTGTCTGTAATCGCTGCCCAGTGGAAAAATAAAGACAGTTTGAGACTCATTCTACAAAGTCAGATCTTATCAAAATTTTAGAAATCTGAATTTTTGCTTGAATAGACCAAGGCCAAGTTAGTCTTGACCAATGTGCAAGAAAACGGCAAAGATAAGAGGCACATGTTGTAAGAAAATGAAGTAGCACGATTCAACATACATATGATACTGTCAGTTGACTTGAGAAAACGCTGCCTTCAATTTGATAAGGTGAATCGTTATCTCAAAATGATATAGAAATGATGCACTTCCATTTACAAGAGATGATTTTTCACAATAAAAACCAAAACTGCAAATGTATCATAAGATAATTATTTAACCTATTTAAGTGTATTCAATGGTAATGAAATCATGAAAAGAAGAAAGAAAAACTGATGACAGATAAATAGGTTCCTGATCTTCATCTCACAGCAAAATATGAAACTGAAATCATTTTTGTCTCAACAACACACTGCAATTGGTTTGAACACGGGCAAGCATTATTTTCAAGTACTTTCAAAGCATCCATGTTTTATCTTTGACAATGCCAAATTTTGAAGATGTCAAATTCTAGATCTTTCAGAAATATTTGAAAAATATTCTCTGAGCAATGATTTTGAAGAGTACTTATTTGACAACAGACACCATTACTTGACTTTAAAATAGGTTTGTCTCCACAGTAATTACCATACAAAAGTTTAAATTAGCTTTCTGCCATGCTTGCAACTTCAAACTATATGTGAGGCAGCGTGATGAAATCAGGCGCTTGTCAAAATAACGAAATCTGACAAAAAAGCATTTTTCCGCCAGTTTGGACATTCTTATCAAATTTTTTTTTTTGGCTCAGCCTCTTTTATATCCATATAAATATAAAAACACATTTCAAGGTGAATTTTACTGAAAAACATTGATTAAGGTCCCATAATATGTCATTTTTTCAGTTTTTAAGGACTCTCTAGCTATTGAAGTTACCAAACTTTGGCAGCCATTATCTCGCTAATTTCCCCCCATTTAAACCAGGCGACCCCACCTCCCTCAATCGCAAATATTTTGACTTCTATTCAAGATAGATGGATATTTATTTCATTAGAAGCAAAGCAAAAGAAACAGCCTTCAGATAATACCAATAACTCAACATGACAAAAAATTTGACCAGCTCCTGATTCCACCGTGTCGTGACACATATGAATCAACTGACTTAAATTTCTATAAGCTTGCAGATTCAAACTAGGTAAATCAAGTGATTTAAATATCTATCAGCAGTCTGACAAAAGAGACCAACATAACCCAGTTCTTCCACGCATCTCAAAATGTAAAAAAAATAAATAAAGTTTTTTAAAAAAAGCAAACAACTGAGATCCATAAATCATAATGAAACTTTATCTTGAATCCTGAAAAAAAAATTGCAATGGGGGTGAGGGGGCCTTGCCCTAACATCATCAATTTACATGCATGATCAACCTCCCAATTGCAGAATAAATAAATCATATTAAAAGCACACTCCCACGAATATGCCGATGTTATAAAAACAATTCAGCCCATTGACTGAGACAATGACCAATATAAATATATGTATGTTAGTATATATGCCTGAACTTCCCTCTCAAAAGAGATGACAAAAGTAGAGCTTCACAAGATTGCTATTTTCAGTTATCCTTTCCCTGTCTTTAAATGCTGAACTAAAATAAAGTTACAAGTTGGACAGAATCTTTTTTTGTTACTTAAAAAGAATGACAATGACTATATCGAGAAAAAAAAACCCATACCCTCCAAATTTTACCCATATAATGTGGATAATGCTGATATCAGCTGATTATAGTAAACCAAATGTTTAATTGAACACAAAGACTTTATTAAAAGCCTCTGAAAACTAGAATAACAACACAACAACCGACAGCAGGAGCCCCGAGCTTTTGATGCCAGGGGTAACTCCTGAGTGGTGTCAGGGGAGACTGCCGAGTGACATCACAAGATGATTTGATTTTTGTAACAGCCATTGAGGTCTTTGTGCGGCAACACTATAGAGTTAAGAATGATCACTTCAGGGGGGACTTGTACATTGGAACCTGCAATGACACACACACAAAGAATCTCTCAAAGGGAGCACTCACGGGTTCAGAAGTAAATGATAACATTATATTCTGAAGTAAATGATCCCTTTGTATTCAGAAGTAAATGACTGCTTTACATTCCGAGGTAAATGATCGCTTTACATTCACAAGTAAATGGTTGCTTTACATTCACAAGCAAGTAAATGATTGCTTTATATTCTGAAGAATATGATCACTTTAAATTCTGAAGTAAATGATCGCTTTACAATTCTAAAGTAAATTATCGCTTTACATTCTGAAATAAATGACTGCTTAATTTTCTGAAGTAAATGATCAATTTACATTCAGAAATAAATGACCGCTTTTGAATTTGAGCAAGAGTTTTACAGCACTCACAGCATAAATAGTTCAGACTAGTGCCAAAGATTAGTTAGAAGTGTTACTAGAGTAATATTTTTTTAAATAGAAGGAAAGATAAGGATGACAGAGGTTTAAAGTTTCATAGAAAAGAAAGAGCAAATCACACCAAAACACCTGCAAACCATCCAAAATGATCACTTTAAATTTAAAAGTAAATTATCACTTTAGATTTAGAAGTAAACGATAACTTCAAACTTTGAAAGTAGTAATGCACACCTGCTGATGTGGATCATCAAAGGGACAGTAGTTCTCAGACTTGCATCCCATAAAACTTTTAAAACAACCAACTCAATAACTGCTTTTGGAACATTCAATATCAGTATTTGGCCACTTTTGCTGACCATTTTTGAAACATCTGAGAATAATGGCAGGGGCCTTTTATAAAACAAGGTGAATTTCAAATAGGATGTCAATGAAGCAAAACGAAAAAATTTGAAAATAAATTTCAAATCTAAGGGGACTATTAAACTAAGGGCTCTTTCATACCTAATACCCATCAAACTATGCAGTTCACCTTTTCTGGAAGTTCACAGCTATCCGGATACAAGGGTTTTATATTGACCATCGAAAAAAGTATTGTCACCTTCTTTTCCCATCTTCAAAAATGAACATATGTGGCAGAAAAACTCCCCAATGATTTCTTTAGTTCTAGTAAGAGTTTTACGGCACTTGCAACACAATAAGGACATACAAGAGTCGAAGATTAGAGGTGTTACAAGATAGTAACAAACACAAAAAACGAGGAGAGATGAAGACGACAGATGTTTAATAGGAATGAAGGAACAAACCACACAAGAGCATCCGCCAACCAGCCACAACGGTTTCTAATTGAAGTTTATAAAGTACAAGGAAAAAAACAAGACAGAAACAACAGAGGGAAAGAAAAGAAGAAAGACCTACAAGAGGCACCCTCCTACCACCCACTCAGACTGCTGTGTGCGAAAGGAGTTGAACAAGACTAAACAACAAGGAACACAGGGAAGGACACACTCACCAATGACTGTGATAGATGGGTTGAGTTTTCCATCAGTAGAAAACATACAAGGGATCTCCAGCTTGGCAAACGGTTTGTTAGGGTTGGGGTCGTTGGGTGTACCTTCTACACGCGTCCACATACCCACTGTGCTGTGCCAGCCCACGATGCTGTGTAACACGCAACAGTGAGCCTGGGGAGGAGGAGGAATGGACACAGTGGAAACTTAAAAAGATGTATTTGAGCAGAAATATTGGAGCAGAAATCATAAAAATTAAACTCCGCTTCCTCATGCCCCAAGCAAAACAAAAAAAGCCAGCAAAATAGATCTGGCGTTGTAGCCAGTTCCACCATGCATACTTAATAGGAGGTGCTCACTAGCGCGACTGGGTCGGGTAGGGTCGATCTGGTAGTTGGGGGCTAGCCAAATTGAGGGCGCAAAGCAGCCATCGTGGCACAAACCGATCGACTCGGTCGGTGACCTTCAAAAACAAAGGCCTTTGCTTTCAGGCCTGCGAGGAGTGTGATCGGGAGGTTTGCAGCCAATCACAACAAGGCTGAGTCACGTATCCAAGTTGACACTGCGATGTCAAGGAAGGGCATTTCCACGCAAAACACCAACAATAGACAACAATGAAGTCCATCGACTTAGAGAAGATAATAGAAAGTTATTATGTAACCCATGTTTATGGGATTCCAGGCTGCCGCAGCACTGCAAAAGGGAACTGCAGAAAGGAGCCCTGGAGGCCCTTGAGGTTAAAAGTTTTCCCTACTTTAACTTCCAGGTCATCGGGTACAATCGCGGCGGGGTTGTAGTGTGCACTGAAACCACCTGAAAATGACCCGACCCAACCCGATCGCACTAATGGGCACCCCCTAATAGGAGACAAACAAAATATAATTCAGTAAAGAAAAATGGTATTTTCGTATCAATTTTAAATCTAAAATCAGGCACAATGGCAATAAAGGATTTTTTTAAAAAATTTATGAACTTATCGAATGCAAGTCAATCATAAGCGTAGAATAACTTAAGATATGTGTCACGGCGCTGTGAAATCAGGCACTCGTCAATTTCTGGGTATTTGGAGTTATTGTTATCATCTGAAAGCATATTCATTTGCTGTGCTTTCGATGAATAAAATACCCATCTATCTAGAATAGAAAAGTTTGGAAACTCCAATAGCTAAAGAGTCTTTGAAAACTGAAAAATGACATATGTTGTGCCCTTAATCAAAATTTTTCAGTAAAATTCACACGGAAATATTTTTTTGTAAGGACATAAAACAAAATTTTGATAAAAATTGCTGAAATGGCGTAAAAATGCCCGTACCTCCGATTTTGTTATTTTGACGAATGTCTGGTATCAGAGTTTTCTCACCTGAAGAGTGGCTCCCTCCAGGACAATGGTTTCTCTCACCCGCACTCCCTCACATACAGTCACGTTGCGTCCGATGGTCACGTTAGGACCCAACTAAGAAGACAAAAAATAGCCTATCAACAGCACAGTCATGATCAAAACATTGCAAACTTTAAAGAATATTACAACTAGTATACTGAATCCCTTTTATCATGCACCATATCAGAGTTAAAAGGCAGGATGGGGGTGGGGGCATAATTCAACTGGATGGTGTTTGCCTTGAATGCTGGAGTACCTAGTAGATTGATGCTGGGTTTCTATTGACATTGAAAAGCTGTTTTTTTCCACAGGCTTCTCATACCTCTGATCCCATGTCAAATGGAGTCACGTAACCAGTCTCTCTAAGTAAGACAGGAACACTCAGTGATGCCATGTGTACATCCCACATGATAAAGCAATTTCAGTAACTGAAAGCTGAAGAAGAGCAGCCCCTTTTAGGTAAAATTCTAAACCACTTGGTAATCCAAACTCAACACCTGAAGAGACTGGACAGCATTAGTAATTAAGAGAATCCTAAAGAACTGCTGTCTATCTACTGAAAAGGCCGGAGATCTTATACTTTAACAGGAAAATAGGTCATATTGTTATTGTAAGAAAAATAAGCGCTCATTTATTTTTTTTATCTCACTCTGGAAAGCAGGGTCAAGCAAAATTACTCATTTCTATTGATCGTTATATACCAGTCAAAAAAAGTCATCGATAAAGGTGGCTGATGAACCTGGAGGAGGAGGAAGAAAAGAAGAAGACCTCCTTTTGAGGTGAGTAAAAAAATTTGGCTAAACATGGATGGCACTTTCTGACGAATCTGTTATTGTGTTTTTACATAGCCCAGTCATTCATCATGTTGAGTTTAAGTTTGCTAGTGCACTTTGACATCTATGGCTCATGTCTACGACATGGATGTTAAACAGAGGCTCTGGTCAATATGTATCAACTAATTAGCAAACAGAAAAACAGCGAACTGTGATTCAGAAAAATTTTCAACATCTCTTATATATTGATCTTATACAAATTTTCCTCTAAGCAATAAAAAGATGATACATCTTTTGGAAACAAAAACATTTTCCCTATCCCCAAATATTATCTTCCCAGCTCTAGAAATTCCAAAGAAAGTAAACAATGAAGTAGCAAATAAGTAAAGCAGTATATGAAACGACAGTACAAGTTTTAAAATTTCGTATGGCGCAATTTCTAATTCAGATATTCATTATAAAGGCTTACCACGGCAGTGGGGTGAACAATTGCTGTAGGGTGAATGAACACATCTCCGATGATCCTGGGTTTCCCTTCGCAGTTTTTGGCAAGCCTCTCTGGGTGTGTGCGCTGGTAGATGGCCAGGTAGTGGCGGTTGGCATACACAGCCGCTCTGGGGAACATCGAAGGAAAAACTGGTATGAGACTTGCTTACTACACATGTGCAACAGAAGGTGGCATGACTCATGACATATTTTAGTAATATATCTTTTTTTTTTTTAACTAGAAAAGAGAAAAAAGTTCTCAGTTTAAAAATGTTTTAAACTCCTTTCAACCCTATGCTGGTTATCTTTACAGACAGCCTTTCAACACTACAGACACTTGACAGTGGGACTGATGTGAACAAAGATATATTGCACTTGATTTGGAGTCTACATAAATTGATAAGTAGGCACCACGTCAGAGTAGTCCTACAATGGATTCCTGCCCACATTGGGATACCGGGAAATGAAAGAGCTGATGCTCTGGCAAAGAAAGGAGCTAGCCTCCCTCAGCCTGAAATTCCTACGAATTACACCACCTGCTGCCAAATGATCAAGTCAAACCTCAAGGAAGAGTGGATTGGGCCACAGGTACGACAGGAAGGAGGATGTATGGCCACATGAATAAACCACTGGTCAAAGATCCAATCAATGAGTTGAGGAGGGGAGATCAATCCATAATCTTCCAACTTAGAACACAACATGTACCCCTCAACCAACATCTCAACTGAATTGGAGTAAAGCAGTCTGCTGCCTGCCCACTATGTGACTACCCCTCAGAGACAGTGGAACATCATCTGTTCTTCTGTAGAAAACTAACGGATTTAAGGGGATGTTTTCTTCCCAAGCTATCCCACACATCTAATTGCCTCTACTCCTCAAGACAACAATTAGAACAAACATGCAACTATTACCAAATGGCATCATGCAGAAGAGTTAATGCTCAGATGCTACTGGATCGCTAACAACAACAACAACAACAACAACAACAACCCTATGCTGGTCCCAATCCTGGCTTTATGCCACGTTCATATACTTCAGGACCAGATTTTTTTTAATGGCTCATATTATAGGCAAGTACATATGGTAGATACCAATATGTGGAAAGATGGAAACCCTAACAAAAGGGAGAACTGACATAAGGGAAAGGCAGAACAGACATACCCAGCTGACTTGATCTGGCTCCAGAAGCGGGAGGTGGAGAAGACAAACAGCTGGCCTGTCCCTGCCATAGGGATGAAAATGTCCTGTTCGAGTCTGATCACCTCTTTGCTGGGAGTTTGGAAGTCGAAGCTGCCAAGGCCAAGGATATGAGGAAAAGATATTCATAAAGAGAAACAATATTTTTATTACTAAAATCATTTATAAAAACACTTCCTCAAACAAAGTAATATTGTAAAAAGCAACACCAGACCAGATAGCCAAATTATTAATAGAATCATTGAGAACACAAATTGAATTTCATTGCTTGTTTTTTTTTTTTTACTTTAAAAAGAAGAAGAAGAAAGCTTTACTTGCCATTTTACTTTTTATATATTCCACAAAATACTCCAGACACTTTGTTCGGAAAACTCTTGGCAGCACATTTCAGCTATGAAACAAAGCTTGTAGCTTTGAAAGAAGTAAACTTTGCAGAAACTTTGAAAAAACTACACCAGATGGCATGGTAAAAATTTGCCATTTAGAAGACCATATTACATTTGTTTATCTTTAATTTTTTTTCAAAAAGGATATATCAATTATGAATTCAGAAATGTCAAACAAAAAGCATGAGATGACACTCTTGAATTGGCCAATATGATCCCTCTTCTCTATTCCAGTCTTTAGAAACAAAGCAAACGATGATCCAAGTCTGTGACGAAAGCATCTTTTACTCCGTTAGCAGCTAAAACAACTACAATATGATTGGCTAGAAATGGTTTCTCAAAGTGAGATGGAAACCCTTTAAGCACTTTGAAATAGAAATATATTTCATCATAAACTAAGAATAAGATACAGAGTCTAACCAAGGCTAGAGGACAATAATCACTCTGAGAAGATTGCCTTATATGAACATGTTTACTGAACTCAGTAAGGTATCGTATTCCTTAACATTTGTACTAGTATAAGCATGCACTTGTTTGAAACATAACAAAACCATGGAAATGTCAAGCTTAAGTATAACAAACAAACCAGATCGCCGAAACCTGTACCATGCCACCTGAATGAAACTGCTAAGAAGTTAAAGTGAAGGAACAGGAAAATCTACAAGAAATGGAAAGTAATTTGCATGGTGCTTGCAAAACATTCTATCTAAACACCAGTCTTGACACAAGACCCAGAACAAAAAGTTACTAATAACGAAGCACAAAGACATAATAAGACTGTCATCATATAGTGCTGGGATAAAGCAAGGGTTTGAGTTGATGAAGAGATGCACTTCGACAAACTAAGGTTCAACAAGTGCTGGGAAACAATTAGACAGAGGGACAGAAATTACACATTGAAAGAAAAGAAGTAAGATCTTCCCCTTGCCCAATCACATACTTATGATGCCATCTGTTAATAAAACGAGGTAAGCTCAATTTGTCAGCTGGTTCCCTCTGTTTTATTCCACAAGTGGGGGTGGTTGATTCCAACTATTTACCTGCGTACAATACTGTGCATATATATACTTATATATATATATCAAAAGCGCTCAAGTTATATGTCATTGAAATTTATGGAGGTTTGAGCTTGCATTGGATAAAAAAGATTAACCAAAAAATCACTGGAGTTAGTCAAAAAGTGAGCGCAAAAAAACACAAAAACTGAATGAATTTACACCGGCAGACACTTATGATAGTAATAATAATAAAAGTCATTAAATTTCTGTAGTGCCCACTCTTCAGTTGGGCTCTAGGTGACGAATTTGTGACAAAATAAGTTTTACAACAAGCAAGGAAAGAAGTATGGACAATATATTCACAAAGATCTTCAGCAGTACATGAACTGCAATTTTTTTCTGTTTTTAAAGACTGTAGGCACAAAGGAAAAAAAGATGTTTTTAGTTTTAGTAGAGGTTTTACGGCGCTCGCAACTGCATAAGGTCATATGAGCGCCAGAAGATTAGAGGTGTTACAAGAGAGTAACAAACATAAAAAAGAAAAAGGGGAGATAAGGACAACAGATGTTTGATAGGAAAGAAGGAGCAAACCACACCAGAGACCCCACCAACCACCCATGAAAAATGATGTGACAAGAGAGTTACAAAATAAGAGGAGAGAAGCAGAAGGTATGGACAACATCATCAAACTGCCTACCGGTGGGTGGGGAGAGCGAAGAGCAGCAACATTTGTGAATATGTAACGACAGAATGCAAATAACTAACATGCAACACAACACAACGCACAAATACAGGAATACAAAAAGGCAGATCAGACAACACAGAAGACACGAACCACAGCTCAAAATGCAAAGATGCACATTATTCATTACTGCTGATGAAACAATTATTGTGGATCAAAGTGTTTGTATTAGATCACTACTTTGCACATTGCACGGATGGCGTTAACAGACATTATTAAAGATGGTGTACACCGTCATTCATAAGACTCAGCCTTCATCATTTAATAATTTAACCCTTCCAGCCCCAGCCATTTTTATGCACTCCCTAACCCCAGTCCCAGCCTATACAGCAGTAAGTCAGAAAAAGAGGCATGCATTCTAAAAAGGGATGAAGTATGTAGTATCTTTGTAAAGAGGTTTAGATAATAACATATAACAATCTTTAAAGGTAAATAAATATGAAAATTAAAGTTTAAATAGGTTCGCTAATTTTTTTAAAAGCACAAATTCGGTACCCTCCTAAACTGAGAATATACGCTCTTGGGACGGAGGGAGGTACAAGCGCTGCTGAAAATATACGCGCTTGGGGCTGGAAGGGTTAACAATCAAAGCTGAGACGACAAACTGCTGCTTGCATTCAGATCTCACATTTACTCACTTTTAATTAGATTTGCGGCTTGCAATGCTGTGTACATTAATAATTACGTTGTTTAGATATTTCAATATACAACAGTGTATACCATTCACAAGCACCATCGACTTTGATCTTAGTATTTTAGTATTTTGATTTCTGATTGTGGGTGTTTGGCAGGTAAGCTGATGTGATTTGCTCCTTTTCCCCTATCAAATATCTATCGTCCTTATCTTTCTTCCTTCTCTTTGTATGCTACTCTCTCGTACCATCTCCAGCCTTCGGCACTTATGTGACCAGTTTTGTTTCGCAAGTGCTGTAAAACTTACTAAAACTAAATCATCATCATCAGCAGACAATGGAAAAAAGTACAAGGATGTCACAAGGAAAAATGCTCTTCCTTCAGAATGGAGAAACCATGGGGTGGTTACAACACAGCAGATGAAATGACCAAAGCTTCTCTTTTTTTTTTTCAGGCATTCAAGGTTTGTTTCAGGTTGTTGTTTTTTTGTTAGAACTTAAGACTTACATCATTATAAAAATGATATTTTTACTTGAGTTTCTAAATAAAGTCTTTCATTCTCCTAGTGAGGAAAAATTGTGAATATATGATAATAATAGTTGCATTTATATAGCACATATCCACACTTTACAGCATGCTGTAAGCGCTGTATAACTACTATCATTACCTCATGGTTGTGAGTCTGAGAGCCTAACCATTAGGCCACCAATGTAAAATGCAACGGGAGGGGAGCAGGAACAAACTATTGAAAGTAGGAGGATATGATGGAGGGAGCTTAACACCCATTACAGTTTTAGTTTTAGTTTTAGTAGAGGTTTAACGCCGCTCGCAACTGCATAAGGTCATATGAGCGCCAGAAGATTAGAGGTGTTACAAGAGAGTAATAAACATAAAAAAAGAAGAAGGGGAGATAAGGAAGATAGATGTTCGATAGGAAAGAAGAAGCAAACCACACCAGAGCACCCGCCAACCACCCACAGCCATTACAGTAGCATGAGACATTGCAATGGCTTTCACAAAGTAAACGAATACCACAACCATTCTAGATACAAGAGATTTGAGACTTTAAAGAACACCTCCCTAAAAAAACTGAGCAGAAATTCATTAGTACTGTACCTGCTTAAAAACACCCCTCCCCCCTCCCCAAAAAAACCCATGAACAAGAACAACAAAAGAATAAAGTATAAATAGCTGTCAACAATCCACTTCTACGGCAGAGAACGGTACAACAAGTGCACCACAGACCATAGATGAAGAAGCAATGAAGACCTTTCTTAGAAAGGGGATACTCCATGTTCCCCATGAGGTCAACACTACCAAACTGAATCCCTATACAAGACAATAAATAACAAAGCACGAAAAAAGTTTATTGCCTTCAATGAATGCCCACCAGCTAAGGGGTACAGCTTGGTGAGTAAGGGAAGAATACAGCTTTACGCAACTCATTAACTCTTGTCCAGGAGATCTTGTGCTCCCTCTTTATGTACCGTTAGCAAAGCAGTGACAAATAGGATATAAAAGGAGAAGAGTGATTTTGTGTAAGAGTTACCACAATTCCTTGTCAGATCAAAAAATGTATTTGACAGCCGTCACCACAGTCTCTGTTTACATGGGGAAATGACAACAGAAATGACAGCAGACGTGACAACTGTTATTTATACAAGCTGAAACAGCTTCTATTGAGAGATTGCGGTTAAGGGGTAGTTCAAAGACAGTCACTATCATAATGGCCATATTTCGCCAGGAACAAATTTGGTTGATGATTGCATTGAAAAAAAGTAAAAAGACAACAACATACCACAGCCCCGATCCCAAACAAGCGACCCTAACGCGATAAATTTTTTTAATGTAGGTGTTTTCACACCCCTACTGACACAATTTAGATCAGGGTTTTGACCCTGCCTGTCAAGATCAACACGGAATATTAGGGATCCAATCTCCCGAGGGGAAGACAGAGCCATTCGGTAAAATTCTCCCCAAACAGTAATCTATCTTGGATCTTCTGCAGCAACAGTGAAGGGTCTAACTGATACATCACACATGCCGGATATGAGAATGTGGATGAACATACAGTCGAACCTGTGTAAGACGGCCACCCGTTGTCAAGGAGAAAAGTGGCCGTATAAGAAAAAAACATTCCCTTCTGAGGTCCTAACCGAAAGTAGATATCTAGCCGCATTGTTTTTCGTTGTTTGTTATTTTTATTTTGTTGCCGATTTTCCACAAGGGTGACAATAAAACAAAATGTATCAAACAAGGAAGGCAGAGTACCATATGTTTAAACAAACACATGGGTCGCCACCACTTGGAGAACGAGCCACGCTTCTGTAGCAAGTACATGTTGCCGTCCAGTGTTACATGTGCTTTGTTATAGACCGGGTAAACAGTGACCACTCATCTCACTTACGATTTGTGTATGAGTTCTGGGCGGGGCTTATGGGTTATGAGGGATCACATACCTCACAAACAGCTGAAAATTTATTACCTATTGGTAAGCAGTAGGAGTGGCCAACGCAACGTGATCGGTTGGAGGGACTACCAAACAACAATGACAGGTGATTGGATATGATGGCTCACACAGAACGCCAGGAGCAAAAGCATAATTCATGACAAAACGTAACAAAGTCACAAGGGTGGTGGTCTAAGACAGGTACAGTCCATGCCGGCTTTAAGCATGGTCATCGGGAGAAAGCATAAGCGTGCTTAAATCCGAAGCGTGCTTGAGTGCGAAGTAGACATAATCCAGAGATTTTCAGGTAGAAAATTTCCGGTGCTATTTCCCTTAAGTTTGTAAGTAGGCCTATAGCGATCCCGCTGTGCCACATTCATACCACCGCCTTCATCCCACCTTGCGCGTGATACACAATCAGGATTAATGGATAGCGAGGGTCAAAGGTGAAATCGCAGCCAGCCGCCCTTTCTCGTCTCCCCGACTCTCTTTGTATTTTTAAGTCTGTGTGTAACTTTGCCCTAGGCTAGATCCTATGTCCACGTGCGCGGCTGTGTGCATCTCTCTGCCTTCCTCTACTCTCCGCCCGTGTGAGTGTGTGTCTCCATCACTGGCACCACTTGCGTTCTCTGTGTTTCTCTTAACACACTCCACTGCTGCAGTGTAGACTGTGTTTGAACTTCGATGGGTCATCGTGAAAGTATTGACTGTCTTGTTGTAATGAAGCGTGCCTAAAGCCGAAGTCACCGTGCTTAAAGGCGTGTAATTTATATAGCAAAAATTGGGTAAGAGCCGTTTAGCGTGCTTAAGTCCGAAACGTGCTTTAAGCCGGCGTGCTTATAGCCGGCACGGACTGTATTACTATTTGGTGTGATAGGGGTTGTGTGTTAAAATATGGTGGCCGCGACCGCGTTGGACAGGTGGCCGTTTTACATAGTGAAATTAGAAAGAAAAAAAGAAAGGGGGGAAATGGAAAGTGGCGGTTTGTACAGGTGGCCGTCTTATAGAGGTGGCCGTCATGGCAGGTTCGACTGTACGTTAACACAGGCATGTCAGACTCTTCTTACTTTCTCATTCACAGAACACCAATAATGCCACAATACATAGGAAACCCCTTCATCCTAGAGCGTTGGCCCTGTGTCATCATAACCAGTTTAAAAAATTAAGAAAAAAGATGAATGCCTATATACCCAAGTCATTTTCTTACACAATTTTTATAATCAATCATCTTCAGAATTTACGATAGCATATTAGGACAAGATCTGCCAACTTCAATTATTATCAAAAGCCCTGAAAGGAATGAATAAAAGCACATGAGTATTGTGTTTCTGAACAACACCCAACAATTTGAGAGACTGTGAATTTGTCAAAGTTATCATCTTTACTTACCATTTGCATTTCTTACAAGACAGATCTCACAGATCGTGACTACGTTGCAAGAAAATATTTTGCTTTGTCTTTATATTACTTTGAAAATTTCCAATTTAAATTGGATGGAAAATTTGACAGAAGTATTTGATCAGTGTACACATGCATTCATCGTATTTCTTGCTTGTGTTTATTGATTTGATTGAGTTACCAGACCAACGTTTTCAATGCGTAATATTATGACCCACCAGAAGGTCAGCAATCGTGCTACCAGGCACATTCTGCAGACATCAGTCATCCGCTATCATCATTACGTGAGAAGCATGCAACAATGAACTAAAAACCTGACAATATTAGTAGAACAAAGAACAAAAGCAAGAACATTGAATTGAACAGCTGAGGCACTGTGTTACCAATACCTACCCGGGCACCCTGAGGTTGAGATCACAATAGCTGGGTGGATAATATAGGAGGATAAATTAACAGGTAACTAATGTGTGAATCAATTCAATACAATAGAATCTGATTTTATAAACCATACCATGCATGCTATATTAATTGAAGCATACGAAAAAATAGAGAAAAAAATAGAAAAAAATAGGGGACACCCCCCCCCAAAAAAAAAAAATCATTTGAATTGCTAATATTCTTTCGATTTACCATTTTAAAATGAAACCCATTTCTCGTCATTACTGATACTAAACCTTCTAAGCAGACAGAAGAAAAAGGGAAAAGAGAAAGTTGAATTAGATGAGCACACAGAACTTCAAAAGAAACACAAATGTTTAAATAAACCCATTCTTAACTAGTCCTAAACACTTCACCCAATCCAAACCCAGAGAGACAGAAGCAAAAAATAGCTTTCTTGCAGTAGGCTTACAAATAAGAATTTAACTTGAATGGAGACGGATATAAGAAAGACCTCCTATTTCAGAAACAGTGTGGAGTGGAGATGATATGTTAATAAATGGCTGTGCTTGTGTGTCATATAAAATATGGAGTCAACGGGAAAAACGGAAATAGCCACAAACTGAAAATTGTGAGGGTATCGATTCTGAACGTTGTTGTTAGGTTTCCCATTCAACAACATATAACAATAAACAACCAATCAAACAAAGATGAAGTTATGAGTCCACAAACTTTAAAACTGACACCCTCACAATTTCCAGTTTGTGTCTATGCCCATTTTTTCTGTGTACTCTTCGAATAGAATGATGCAAATCTTTGACTTTTGCATAAGTCACCTATTCATATCACAAAGAGCACAAACATGGTAATATGCAACACCACTGGAGAGAAAACTATGGCAGCTTTGAGGATTTAAAGCGGACTGCACAGTTTGTGTGCATCACTGGATTGACTGTCATTGAAAAAAAGAATAAGAAGACGATGAAGAAGTATATGAGTCTCAATCAACAGCATAAAACATTCAGTAAAGTTACATTTCACACAGAGATGAAGAGAAAAAATAAACAGCAGTTTAGAGCTTTAAAAAAAGCAAGAACAAAAAAAATGGAATGTTCATTTCTCTCAACCATAACTATCACACACACACACACACACACACACACACACACACACTGTGAGGCAACATTATAGATACTTTCTCCTTTACATCTATCAAAGTGGCAGCATCAGTGATAATGACAATATCTGTAATGGTACAAAGTGTAATCTGGCATTGGATGATGATGATGATGATCTTTTCAAAATGTAATTTTTTTTTATTTTACCAGAAATTGCCCCTCTCTGACATGACTTTTGCATTGGAAAAGACATGAATGTCAACCTTTACAAAACCTTTGTAACAACACTTTTGAAGAATATTTTTGCAAAATAAAGGGGAACTCAGTGAACCCCATTATTACAGGTGCTACATTCAGACCTCACAGTCAATATTAATCTACAATCACACAGACACTTCACAAAAGAAGGGGGGGGGAGAGACATCCAAGAAAAAAAACTATGACAATCATCAAAACAATAATGTAGCATCAGAAAGACACTATCTTATAAACACATAAAAGAAGAAGAATCTTCTGAAGATGACAATCAATATATGTGTGAGCAAATTATTCAAACACTTCTAGTTCAGGTAAGTCAACAGTCCAACAATGACAAAGAAAGCTTACAGCAAGAAAAAAAATAACTAAAGATCCCTCAGATAACAAAAAAACAGAGATCCTAAGGAAAACAAACAAGAAAACAAGGGGAAAAAAAGAAAAACTAATATATGAATGAGAGCTATTTGTGGCAACAGTCATTTGAAGTTTCAAACTTTAAAATCATGAATACTAATAAAGCCATACGACTTGGCATACATCAATAATGTTCATTTCACTTTCCCTTCCCTTCACAGTCATATACCTTCCCGTATATATCCCCAAAAGTGATGCGTTGAAATTGTATAATATATAAATACCACAGGTACATCCACTTATTCCATCATCAAAGTTACACCTTAATCCAAAAGACCTTGCCCACCTACCCTAGGTGTAAACTTCAGCGAACTGAGGTCAAACGCCAAAGATCAATAAATCTCCCATAAATGTCAGAATGCAGGAAAAAATAACCCATCTATAGTATAAGTTTATGTCACAACTATACAGAATACAGTTTTCAAAGACGCAACAATATCTCCACTCCAAAAAAGTCATACGAACTATACTGCTTTGCCCAGCACTGCAGTTTAGACTTGAAAAAGACTCTAATCCCTGCAAATTTACAGCTACTGAGAAAGTAAACTAGGAATTTGACATTTGTAAATTAAATTTCTTTGGGCTAACCAGGGAGAAGATAAATAAAGTGTAAATAGTGAAAATACAAGAAAAAAAGCAAAACAACCAGAAGGAAGAGATTTAAGTAGTCCCAACCACATATGTGGCTACAAATGATATATTGGAAAAAGGAAATGGGAAAAATCATGACAGTGAAAGACAAGGGAGAGTATTCTCTGCATGAAACTGAGCCTGTGTGTGTGTGTGTGTGTGTTGTGTGTGTGTGTGTGTGTGTGTGTGTGTGTGTGTGTGTGTGTGTGTGTGTGTGTGTGTGTGTGTGTGTGTGTGTTTGTGTGTGTGTGTGTGTGTATGTGTGTGCGTGCGTGCGAGCGAGTGAGTGTGTGGGTGTTTATGTGTGTATAGGTGTACTCACGTGTGTGCATTTGTATGCGTGTTTTTGTACACACAGGAGAGTGATTACATAATGTGATTTCAGATACTTGTTAGTGTCCATACATGTACTACTTTGTATATAAATAAGAATGTGTATGTATGTCTGTATATGAAAAGAGCAATCATATAGGAGGGCCTGTCTGTAAATAGGTTACAGTACTGACATGATGTGTGTTTTGTTTATGATTCTTCGTAAACATGAGTGCATTGATTTCATCTTGTAAATACAAAACCCCACAAACCCACACACACACACGTCAGTGGTGTGCAAACACAACTCACACTCACACACACATGACTGCGCCAATGCCACTCACTTGTAGTTGTCCTCCAGGTTCTTCTTGAAGGTCACCTCCAGGGTCTTAAAGATATGAGGGCTGAACAGGTAGATGCCACAGCTGATGGTCGGGCTCACAAAGGTCTCTGGTTTCTCCACATAATGCAGCACCTGCACACGGAGGTTAAAGGTCACAAGTAAAGACAGAGCTTTCAGAACAAGAACGCTTCGTTGCACTTTGAAAACAGATAAGAGTGCTCAAAAGTAAGACTTCGTCATAAGTTTTTTTTCAAAATGGCGTAGAGCAGAGGAAATGAGCCAAAAGAAAGTAATTTTCAAACACATTTTCGAACCAGTCCAAACAACATTATCACCTACAGCTTCAACTTACATATTCTCGTCAAATAATGCCGAGGATTAGACGTGGTACAAGAGAGTAACAAACACAAAAACGAAAAAAGAGATAAGGACAACAGATGTTTGATAGGAAAGAAGGAACAAACCACCCACTGCTTCAACTTAATGACAGCTTTTCCATAACCCACACTGAAAGACAAAAAGAGGGCTACATACAGCACGTAGAGTCTGCTGTCCTTAGTTATTATTAGCAAAGTACATTACACACTGATCTAAAAGACTCACCTCATGTGTATCCTTGTTCTCAACGATACAACCGTAGGTTAAAGACTGCTGCCTTGTAGCCTGGGAATAAAAACATAAGAGGTTTTACTACACCTTTAAATTTGTCATATTCATGAAATTTTTGTTTTAGTAAGAGTTTTATGGCACTTTCAACACAATGAGGTAATCTCCACATTCCAGAGGCAAACATATTAATGGAATACTTTCAATAAAAAGAGAAATACATCATGCAGAGGAACAATGATTTACTTCCTATATTTCAATTATGTAAGAGCAAGATTACAGTCCTTTCAATTGTTTTTTTTTTCTTTTACAGTTCCAATCATTCCTGGAGAAAACAGTATTTGGGCAAAGCTGTACTATCTTTCTTGAAATATATTTCTGCTCTGCACAGTATTACTCAAGCAATACAGTAGTAAATATATAGACATCCCACGGGTAAGCGTACTTGCAGGTACACCGTGAATAAATATGTAACAAAATAAATGCTCACTTCAGTAGCTAAAATGGTCCCGTAAGCACCTTCTCCTTTGCTGCGGTGAAAGTTAAGCATTTCCATCAGTGGGAAATCTCCACAAACGTCAGCATTCATCACAAAGAACATCTCGGGGTTTCCTGTAAGGATCTGGTCCCTGAAGTGGTAGATGCCCCCAGCCGTGCCCAATGCCGTATACTCTTGTAGATATCTGAGCAAATGTTTCAAACAGACAGTGGTTTCCTAATAATATGTGTGATGGCCTGGAAAAACTAAACGGAAAAAGCATAGCCATGAACCAAGATATGACCCATAAACTATAAAATATTGAACCTTGTCAATTTCATGCCTTTCATCCTTTTTTTTTTAAGTTACACCAACAATGCCTAAATTACCAGATGTTGTATTAAGCATTTTTTTCTTCTGAGATACCCTTAAACATTCATGACAAAAGCTGGGGGAATACTGAAGAAAGTCATGATCAGGTGTGTGCTCAGATCTAATTGGCTCACACAACGTTACAACATTCTCTAAAGAGACAATGAATACTGACCTGATTTGTATCTGAAACTCTTGCTGTGACTGCATGATAAACTTGTTAAGGGCTTCATTTGGCTGATAGAATCCAATTACTAAGATTTCTCTCAAATCTGGGACCTGCATAGGAAAAAAATATGAATGATAAAATCAAAAGACAAAATATCTTTTTAATTTGATTTGAAAGACAATGAATACTTTAAAACCTAATCTATGGTCACAAACATGAAAAGGTACATTTTAAAAAAACTAGATTTCCTAATCCTATTGAAACATAGTAAAACCTTACAGCCTGTTAAATCTATCCTACAAAAATAACTTTCTGCATGGATACTCTTCAACATATATGAGCAAATAATAATATAATACTAAAAAAAGCTGACTTTGCTTTTGAAAACTATATCCTCTTTCACTTTTCTGTACCATTCTGGCTGATAAAAACATTTTTCATTAATAGATAGACAAGTGCTATAACTTTTACTACACTATCTCAATATCTGCAGGCTCTTGTGACAAAACAATATTCTATGAATAAAAGTACAGAATCTTGACATACTGCAGTGAGTCCTAGTCTCTTGAAGGACCCCAATTTGCTACGTAATAGACTTGTCATAAAAATATTAATGCCAAAGAGTCAGTCATAAAAAATAAAAAGTGCATATAAAAATCTGGTCTTGAGAGGGATAGTTACATAATTTTCTCATCACCCTGGAGCACCAAATATGAATATAATGGCACACTTCAAGTTCAAGGCAAGGAAAAACTGTAATGATATGACCTTTCATTAGAGGAGGAAAGGGGAAGGAACTGTGGAAGTACAGACACACTCAGTCTCATCTATCCTTTATTTCTGACATTTCTATGCCTCATACAGTGCATCCTGCCTATGTACTGCAATAGTTCCTTGGTAGGTAAGGCTAGTGTAACTGGCAGGCCCTTCATCCCCCAGTCTATTGTTTATGGAGACGGAAACAATGAAGGGCAGAGTAGAGTGTGAACTAACAGAGGCATAACCCACACATTAAAAACACTTTTTAAAGAACATGCGGGCACAACCATGCGAGTAGTCGATATACACGTTAAATCGTAAGAAGTTTGAACTACAACAGGTCCTGGTGTCTGTCTATTCCTTTCAAGGAAAAAAAATGACCAACTGCATTTGGTGGACTTATACAGCATTTTGACTGGTCTTCCAACACATTCGACCACCATTGAAAGTCACTTAACTAAAGCAGTAACTAGTATGAACTAAATGAACTCTCTTTGTGAAGTTTTTCTAAAACCAGAGTTCACACAAGATCCCGAATGTTTCTTTCTCTACTTCACAGGAAGTGGATTCTCAAGTAGACACTACTGTACCTGACTGCAAGCTTCGATATGATGATAGATGATTGGGAAGCCAGCGACTGGGAACAAAGGTTTGGGAAGCTCCAGAGACAGAGGTCTGAATCTGGTACCTGAGGAAAAAGGTACACGTCTATCATTTTTAAAATCTAAATTACCACTTTTGGCTATAGGCTGTAGACCTTGCTGTCGCCAAGGATGACAGACAAGGGCATAATTTGAGATTCTGTCAAACAAAAGTTAGAGAAGCCAGGGACTAAGTATTTTAACAGTTTAAGGAAAGCCATTCCAACCTGTCTCTGATTACGTAAGGCAAACAGCAGGCAATCATTGGCAAGGTGCATTTCATTAATTACAGTTGGTAGGATACAATTTTGTCATCCAAGTATAGAAACACAACACAACTGAGATGCATCAACACTAAAGGAAAGCAAAGTAAAGAAATGCGTACTACAATGGATGCAACAGCAAGAGATAAATTAGGAGGCGTGCCATATTGAAAAGATGGGATATGGGCAAGGACATCCACCTCTTTTCTGAGACATATCCAGTAAATTCAAACAGTCCATTTGATGCAGATAGCTAACATTGTCATTGAAACTGCTTTTAGTTGTTTAAACCTTTAGTAGTTATGACCTGATTCCCCAACTGCCTTCTCAACACACCACCCCATTCTTTCTTCATCCCTCCCTTCCCCAACATTAAGTTGCTGCATCCTTTGGTAGAGATCCATCCTATACTGGAATTAATTAAGTATCAATGTAAATGATAACAGAAGAGGGGGTGGGGTGGGTATCTTTTAGACCACTTTAAAATATATGCACTTTATTCAAAATAAGCATATATTTTGATGGCGGGTAAAATCAACCCCCCCCTTCCCAATGAACCCTCCATATCTTTCTCTGGGTCTCAAGATGACCCTTTTTCATTCTGCCTTGCTGCAAAAAGTTAATACAGTCAAACCTGTGTAAGACGGCCACCCATTGTCAAGGAGAAAAGTGGCCGTATAAGGCAGGTGGCCGTCTTAGGCAGGACTGATCAAGATGAAGGAAAAAAAACTATTCCCATCTGAGGTCCCAATCGAAAGTAGCCGCATTGTTGTTTTTGCTGTTAGTTCGTATTTTGTTTGTAATTTCTATTTTGTTGCTGATTTTGCACTAGGGGGACAATAAAACGAAATGTATTAGAAAAGGAAGAATCGAGTGCCATGTTAAAACAAACACATGGGTCGCCACCCCTCAGAGAACGAGCGACGCTTCTGTCACAAGTTCATGTTGACGTCCTTTGTTACTTTGTTACAGACTGGGTAAACAGTGATCACTGATCTCACCCACGATTTGTGTATGAGTTTTGGGCGGGGCTTATGGGTTATGAGGGATCACACGCTTACCTCACCAGCAGCTGAAAATTGGTAGCCTACCCTATTGGTCAACAGTGGGAGGGGCCTACGCAACATGATTGGTTGGAGGGACTACCTAACAACAACGACAGGTGATTGAATAATGACAGCTCGCCCCCAACGCCAGGGGCCAATGCACAATTTATGACAAAACGTAATGGAGTCACTAAGGTGGCCGTCTAAGACAGGTGTTTTTGCCTAGTGTGATAGGGGTTGTGTGCTAAAATATGGTGGCCGCGGCCGCGTTGTACAGGTACCCGTTTTACACAGTTAAATTATATAGAAAAAACGCAAGGGGGGAAATGGAAAGTGGCCGTTTGTACAGGTGACCGTCTTATAGAGGTGGCCGTCAGGGCAGGTTCGACTGTAGTTCAGTGGCAAAGTAAAGTCAGAAGAAACCAGAAACCCTTGGAAAATATATGACGAGAAATTTTCAAAAGTAGCCAACATGATAAAAATGCCTCCATAAAAATGATAACAAAACAATTAGTGTATTAGTGTGTATGTGTGGGTGGGTGAGAGGGGGGGGGGGGGGGGTTCAGCTTCAATTCTTTGCCTATTGCTTTATTGAAAGAAATTTTATAAAACAGTGGAGTACAACTTCGCACAAAGTTTTGTATCCTCTGTTTGTCAACTGTTAGAAAGTAACTTTGAGTATCAAACTGAACAGGATGGATTATGCGTGTGGAACTTCTCTAACTCTCTCACCCAAACTTGTGACTTTCACCTCACCCTCATGATGAAATCTGTCCATTGTACACTATCTTTTAAATCCCTTGCCAAACAGGTTGGACAAAAAATGTCTTTTATAATAGGACTAATATATTTATAAAGAAGAAGGGACCAGTAAGTCTGAACAAAAGCCCGTTTTAAGCCTAATATAACCTGGAAACAGGAAGACTTTTGTACCAAGCATTAAAAAGTTACTGAGATACCTGGACTGAACTTTAAAAATCATACACACACGAGCGAGTATCATTGCTTGTAGCCCTCAGCAGTAAGCTACATTTGTCTATCATCAGTACTAGCCAAAATTGGGCCCAATCTCACTCTTTGGTATGGCTCTTAACTACTCTGACTCTACTGTTTTTTGGGGGGCTTTTTCTATAGACTACACCTAAGACAAGTTTTATATCAAAATGCAATCTTAATAACAGCATAAACATACGTTCCGCACTATTATATAGACCTATATATTTTATATAGGCCTATTATTATATATAATAATTAATATGTGCTTTTGACAAATAGGTGGGTACCTAAAATGTAGCACTGAGGGTTGATGATAAAGTTTTTAATATTTCGTTTTTACTTGAATTTTTCTATTCATGTATATCTCCTCCTACAAAAACATGTATTTACAGACCTACATATAGCATGCTAAGCTGTGTAACTGGCGTTACGTAACGTCAAGTCAATTTTTTTCAGATATAACTATGATGACACATTTTCTTAGAATATGTCAATACAAAATTATTTTAACAGTTCTCTTATTGCTTTAATTTTCAAACATACGCACAAAGAGCATATAAAATAGTGAGGATCTGAGAAACAAGAGATTCTGAATACCGTTGTGTTTGCATTTGTGTCATCATAGTTATGTCCGAAAGAAATGAAAAACTTTCCGTTTTCATATCTTAATTTCTTTTATGAAAATTTGGACAAACAACGATTCAGAAGATTCAGTTTGACTCACAATGCATGTTTATGATGAAACAATGCCACTTTATTCACATTTTACTATGAATCTCTGCAAAATATCTAATATCTTTCGAACATAACCATGATGACACAAAATGAAAAAAAACCCTGAAAAGTAATTTACGGAACATAAAATTGATTTAATACTTTCCTCATTGCTGTAATTTTCAAACATAAGCATGAAAAGCATATAAAATCACAGAAAAAAGAAATTCTGAATGTCTTTGCGCTCGCATTTGTGTCATCATAGTTATGTCCGAAAGAAAAGAAAAACTTTCCATTTTTATATTTGAATTCATTTTTTGGAAATTTTGGCAAACAAAGATTCAGGAGATCGTTTGACTCATAATGCATGCTAATTGTGAAAAAATGCCACTTAATTCATATTTTACTATGACTCTAAAGCAAATTACCAAATATTTTTCTAACATAACCCCGATGACACATCATAGTCGATAAATGTTTGTCGCCATTTTGGAACATATCAATTTACATCAAATTTTCCCCTCTCGTCGATATCTAGCTAAGTACACGTGGTTGCATGTAGAACTACCACTACTTGACCATTGGAATGCAGTATGATGTTAACCATTACTAGGTTCAAATTTTCGAACATAACATGTTTAAATTTGATGACGACATAAGAAAACTTAAAAGGATTCGCCTCATCCATCGTTATTCTTCTCGCCGTCTTACATCACAATACGCTTTAATTTGAATGGATCAACAGGAACAAGGCACGTTCCTCCACCAATATTATTTCTTATTTTCTGATTGGTTCTTTCGAACATAACAAATGATGACAGAGCACTAGGCATTGCGGGATTTCCGTTTTCTACAAAACTACGTACGGTCACAGCCTCGGAATCAGTCAGGGCAGAGAGTAAACATTGAACGATATTATGCTCGCCCCAGGGCCCCAAAACGGCCGATAGAAACGAAGTCACAGGGAATCAAAGTTGCCTTGCGAAATGACTACACGAGTTATGCTCGAAAATGAAAATCTAGAAGGCTCACAAAAAAAACCAACTATAGATAAATCATTATTCCTGATATAGCACCTCAAATAATGTAGTTATAGAGTAGTAAAAGTGTAGAAGGATGAGTTTCTCAGCAATTATTTTATTGTTCAACTTGACGACAGAAAAAGTACGAACTCGACATGTCACGTTTTGCATTCTAAAAAAACATAGATTTCAGAAATAAAAATAATTGTAAGATTTCTTCTGATGGCCCGACTGATATTTCTCTGCTCCCATAGCTGAAACATCATATTAAGTCCAACATATACTATTTTCAAAGCTGTAGGCTAGCACCATTTTTATTGGAACAGGAAAGGATTTTGTTAGGTGTATATGAAGAAAACCCCACCTATTGGCAAAGGCTCATATGTATTACGTATTTGATATATCAATGATCTTGTAGTTCTGTTTGTTAAAGTCCATAATCCATTTGTTTACATCTGGAGAAGAAATCCGGAAGTCTTGATGACCAAATAGGTAACACAAAGAATAGGGATGCAACTTTACTGCAAAACATCAAATTATGGTAAAATTCAGGGGGGCAACTCCCCCCCCCCCTCCACCCCTGAACTCCCCCCCCCCCCCCAATCCATATTTTTATTAGGTCAGGGCTGAAAACCCCCTACTCTTGACTCTTGGGGGCCCAAACCGGCGAATAGTAATTGGGGGTGGGAAAAGCCAAAAAAGCGCCATTCTTTGCTTGAATTTTGATTCTCTGGCAAAGGGTCTCTGGCGTTCAGCTTTGGACTTTAACGAACGAAACTAAAAAATCACCGATATATCTATAGGCCTACTGACTACCAAACTAGATCAACACCTATGTATGCTGCCAACAAGTTAAATACAGATCTATCTAAAACTCAGTGAGTTTTGAGTTTGAAAGTAAAAATATAAGGGTGCAAATGCAAGACAAAATTTAAATAATAGATCTAGATCTAGAATCTAGAGAGCGAATTGAATCATCTTAAAAATGCTAATATTAACAACACTCCAGAATCTAGAAATCTAAGTAGAACTGTAGGAGCCTACTTTTATGAGAACACTAGAATGTAGATAGACCTATATTTAGATGACTAGCTCCAAAAATAAATGGCTGGCTCTATTTCTCCAAACGCTGCGGAAAAACTTGAACTCTTATTTCTCCTAACGGTGTCTGTTCTCGAGATTTGTTGATAATTTGCGAAAGGAGTGGCCCGGCCCGCGCGCATGTGTGTGCACATGTGTTTGCGTAAGCGTGTGTGAGAGAGTGAGTATGCATGTGTTTATGTGAGGGTGAGTATGTGTGGGTATAAGGTGTGAACAAGGTGTGGAGGGATTTTTTTTTTATTGTTCACATGAAGAATTTTAGTGTTTGTTTAAGGGATGGCTAACCATGCAAAATAGGTTACTGCCAAATGTCGAGCAGTCCTGTTTTCTCGCAGTACCTTTTGAAGGCATTTTCAAATGAAGTCTAGTCCAGGAACATTGCCCCAACCACAACTGAAGTATCTGAATATTTAGATATTTAAAAATCCCTAGATCTAGATCTAGATCTAGATTCTAGGCTCTAGAAATTGAATTCAAAGTAAAAAATGCTTCTTCCCGGTCCTCGCAGAATGAAATCAATGAAAGATGATGCCTAAATCTTCCCAAAAATTTCGAGAACGGAAACCGTTCGGAGCAATAGAGAATATATAAATTTTCCCGAGCGTTCGAAAGAAACAGACACTTCGAAAATAAATGCCAATTAATTCGATTTCAGATTGGTAGTGTTAATTGTGACAGAGTGATGCTGTGACAATTAATGCGGTGCTAATTGCGACAGAGTGAGTCTGACAAAAAGAAGTTAAAAAGAAAAACAAACACACACACATGCACACACCCACTCTCTCTCTCTCTCTCTCTCTCTCTCTCTCACACACACACACACACATACACACACACACACACACACAAATACACATACACACTCACACGCTTGTGGCCTACTGCGCGCACACACACACACACACAAAACTAACAAACAAAGACAGTCGAAGCTTTTTTTCTTGTTATTGTTGCTATGGTTGCCCTAATGGTTTTTGTTGCTGTTGTATACTGCTGATGTTTCGTTGT